AGAAGCGGGCTATCCGGGCCACCACCACATTTTTAAATTTTAGTTGTGAACGCAATGTTGTGCTTCCCTTCCATCCCGAAATCCCTTCATTCCTCAAATCCCTGATTGCCAAAATGTCTCCCACTCTCCTCTAGCGCTGCCAATCTATGGGAGGCATCGATTTTTTACCATTGCCTATGTCACCTATTTCTTCGTTTACCATTTCTCCCATAAAATTGCGATACTTTTTTAGCTTTGAAAGAATTAGTGAGCGGTAATAAGCCGAATGCATAAACCTGATAATTAACAGAAATAAATATACAATTTATCAATAAATACTATTTACCTTGCAAAACCTGGGATTTCAATTGGATGTAGCATACAAGTTTAACAGTAAAAATAAAAAAAATATTTGAATTGTTGGATGAAAAATATTCTATTTATTATTGGAAAAATGTCACTAGGATTTACTCCTAGGTGCGTTTACAAACATACAATTTCATATGACACAAGCCACCGAGATCCGAAACAAATTTGTGGATCACATAAAGTTTGTTCCGTGCGGGAATCAAACCTGCGACGCTTTGCACAGCTGCCAGTTGCCCGGCTATTGCGTAAATATATTTTTATTTTATGTTGATCAAACCTATTAATAAAAAATAACCTTCAGCGCGACAAATAAACGCATACATTACGATAAACATAACAATATCCGTAAATAAACAGATAAAATCACGAAATCTATTAGCCGTGTGTAATGTATAGTGTCAGCCATTTTGTTTCGACCTTCCAACCACAAATGACACTGGCGTGCAGGTGCAGTGTCAAGGGGAAACCACATTCTGACCTATAAGATAACTGGCTACCGAATACCACTGTTTGTTGTGACAGTTAACGTGTGAAGGAATTTAAGATTATGTATTTAAGCGTGGGAGAGGTATGTTTCTGTACGAATGGGCCAGCTCGAACGGAGTAATACCACGGCCTCACCGAAAACCGGCGTTAAACAACTACAGCGTTGTGTTTCGCTGTGTGAGTGAGGACCGGAGGCTCAATCCATCTCGGTCCCTTCCTAATAACTAAGTCCTCAAAACCCCTTGTCCTAAAAGGCCAGCAATGCACCTGTAACTCGGTGTGGCGGATTTCCATGGGCGCCGTTGATTGCTTACCATCAGATAACCCGTCTGTTTGTTTGCTGCCGTATAACAGTAAGAAAATGTGCAAGATTTTGATCGCTTATAAAAGCGATCTAAGTCCAAAAACTTTATATTAAGTCTGATTGTTTTCAGAAATTCGACTGGGTCAAATCAAAAATCAATTTCAAATCGACTATTGGATGTTAATCAGATCTGTTTTTTAAATATTGACTGTTTTATCGTTCTAGTTCCAAATCTCAGAGTATAAAAGAAAGTTTTAAAATTCCAAAAGTGCAATTTTCAGAATGTACTTTTCCTACTCCAGAAATGTCCATTCTGTGTCAATGTGACTAGTTTTGTTCAATACCTCATCAAGCCACTTTTTAAATGACAATGTTACTTTATCTGGTCTTACTTACAATGAGATACAGCGAAAAGCAAGCAGATAGATCACCTAGGCCTATGACGGATGAAGAAAGAGAGATGGAGCTATTTTTTATAGCTCCATCCCTCTTTCTCGCCCGGAAGATTCACGCTTTAACACAACATGGTAGGCCCTCTGGTAGTACCTAATAACTGCTGCCAAATACAAAATTCAGGGAATCTTGACTACCTACTTAGAATTTCAGAATTTAAAACGTTGTGGTTGAAACCGCAGGGTTTTCCTTTAACTTCATTGTTAATTGCTTTTCCGGATAAACACGAAACCTTTTAGTTAAGTTACTTTAGCAGTGGGTAGGCAGAATCCTTCTGGTAATTAATGAAGGCTTTAAATATGTGGATTCAGTCTTATCATGAAGCTCTTTAGTTAAGTAACTTGTTAGATCTAATTCAGTTTGTTTTAAGGGACATTTGTGATTGAGAAATTGCCAAATGTCCAAAATTAATTATGCTTAAGGAACCGCTGGTTTAGTCTGAATGGATAGTTCAAAATTCAAAGATAGTGGGTTTTTTTGTAATATATTTTTCCTTGTGGTTTGTCCTGGTGGGATAAGAGGGTGAGTCAGACTCTTACTTATAAAATATATTAATATATAGTTAGTTACCGTTCTTCTTCATTTTAATCTAAGTACATTTCAGAAAGAGTGTCACTGACACCAGCACTGAGGAGTTACGAGTGCGTTGCTGACCTTTTGGGGATTAGGGATTGGGAGATTTAGGGATTGGGGGTAAGGGAGGATTGAGCCTCCGGTAACCTCACTCACACGGAGAAACACAACGCTGTGTTTCACGCCGGTTTTCTGTGAAGCCGTGTCCGGTCGAGCCGAGTCATTCGTACCAAAGCATGACTCTTCCATAGTTAAAAAACTTATTGTTCGGTACAATGATGTATAAACCTATAGATACGTTGTCCGCGCTCTAAAATGACAACATGAAATGAAGGCAATTGACAACATCGCGCTTAGTTACGCACCAACCTGCCGCGCGACGCTACGTTTGTTTTTAATTTATATCGTGTGTAAACCTGTGCGAAACACAAAGAAAGCATGTCGTCGTGTGTGTTCGGACAATGTACAAATTATACTCCAAAAGTTAAAGACAAAAATGTGTCATTTCATGCGTAAGTTCACCAAACAACCTATTTTTATTTTATTTTTTTCGACGCCGGCGCCCGCCATCTTATGGCGGCCGGCGCATGAAGGTATAGTCACGTGCCGTCGGCATAACTGAAGATGTATATTTATCTCCCTCTAGCAAAGGCATTCCACTATACGATGTCATATTTTCTTTCCCTTTCTTTACTCGTAGAAGTAGTTATCTAGTATTTTCGCCGTTTTTAAGCGCCGCGATGTTGGTTCATGACGTGTCTATATATAATACGTCATTGGTTCGGTAACCGTTATTTTCACCAGTCTATAATTCACAACACACACTGTAGGTACTATTATTTAAAGATGGCGTAGGTACTTAGAAGACCTTTTTCCTACTACGCCCTTTAAGCTAACAAATCCTATTTACACAAAGATTTCCGCTCGTAATCTTCACGTCCATTTTCTTTTCCTTGTGAAGTGAAGTAAGCGACCAATCAAGCGATGCTAGCTTCCGCTGTATTTATACTTCCGCTACACAAAACTGGTTATGTCAGTATTGATACCTACATACGTAGTAGATATGTTTATTTATGTGCTGTGTTAAACAGGTAGGTACCAGTAGTAATGTGTATGTTTTTTGTGAGGGCAAAATTATCAAATGTCTTCTCTCGCCCAGGGTGAGCCGAGAGTTCCTTAGAAAATGAAATTGTTAAATCTGACTAAAATTCTTCATAATATCGCGGATTATAATAACCTGTTCGCCCTCTATATAATGGCTTAGCAAAATTATAATATTATAGGCATATTGGTATGTACTACTATACTTACAATAAGGTTCTCCTGTCCAATTTAATATGTACTGGCTTCCATTCGCGGCTTCGCACAATATTAAGCTAGTATGGAAGCTAGCAACGATTTCGACAAATAAATTCAGGTCTGTTTAATTTCAATAAAACATAATCGCGTACCTATTGCACATAATGAGCATTGTCAAAAATGATTGGCAAATAAAAAGGTAAGTATGTGAGGTAGACTAAAATTCTTGCTTTTCAAACGCTGGTAGCTCCCGTACTATAATGGTCTTACTAAATTACTCCACTATTTATTAGATGTAGACAATTATACATATAAACATTCCCCTTCAATGACTCTATTTAAAAAAAAGAGCATCTGAATCCGTTGCGTAATTTTAAAGATTTAAGCACACATAGGGATATCGGGACAGAGAAAGCGATTTTGTTTTATACCTACTGTAGTGATCTATGCCTAAGTATTTCTCAAGGTCATCAGGAGAATAGTTCAATAACCTTTGCGAAATGTGTAATACGAATTTTCTAAATGTTTGCACAATGTAATAGAGCTCTGTATTACAATTTAATATTCTGCCGCTTCTCGGAAAGTGTTTACCTTGATATCTGTCATATTAAAACGGAGAGACGTTACGTAAAAAAATATGACAGACATGAGACAGTCATCGGTACCTACCTACTTATTTATTATCTGTGGACCACTACGTATTTGTGGTATCCATATTGAAATATTTTTTCTTTTTCTTCTTTATTATTATTTAAGTTCTTGTGGTTATGACAGTAGCCATGTCAGTCTCTCTCTAGTTTATACAAGTTTCTATAATCTGTGGTCAGATTATAGAAACTCTCAAAACAAAACCGTAATTTAAAAAGTGAATAATAGAATATCAATCTTATCTCTTGGTGCAGTCATCCCGACCCAGACAAAAAAGAATTCAACTATAAAGGTAGGTACAAAAGAAAATGCTCATACGAGGTCGTAGGTACCAACACAGATTACAAATCTGTGTGTACCATATGCATATATTTTTTCTCACATAAACTCCCTTTAGAGACCTCACACACACACTAACAATAATGTAACATTTATTGACTGTTTTGGATAAACAGCGCTCACTAGGCAGGCAGTGAAAGAAAACAAAACATTATCGGTCAAATATTTTATTTAAAAATACATCTATTCATCACAAGAAAACTACGTAAATACCAGCCAAGCAGGTTTCTAAAGCAAATCTAAAAATGCCTTGCTCTTCACACATCTGTCAAGGGCCTCCATCAGATCTACAGTTTCAAAATGACACGTTTCGGCAGTGTAAGCAGCCTTCTTGGTTACCCTTTTAGTACATTCTTGGAGCGCCAATAGAAATGGGCGGGTATTACAATCCTCTGTGAAAATAAATGTTTTCAATGTTAGTTTTAGCAGTGCAGTCTGTGGATTCTACAGACAGGGTCCTAAGTGGTCAATGTTCAGCCAAGGTTGCGGGGCAAGCCCAATAAGATACCGCGGCGTCGGCCTAAAGCAGAAGAAGGCACAGGAGTTTTTTTTAGTCAGTACGAGTCTGACACTGATTTGATGATTTGCCCCTCACAAAAAAAGGTATACGTTGAAGGCATACAGCGGCCTGCTTGTACAGAATCACATTGTATTCAGGATGCTGTTGGGTCTCACGCTTTTGTAGCGTCTCCGGGATGTTCACCGAGGCCAGGGTGACGGTTATCATGTCATACGGAAACGGTACGCTTCTATTGTCTGTAGAATGCGTGCTAGCTCCCGCATCCTGAGTGTATTCTGTGATAGGTGGGATAGGCCAATCCTGTCTCACTGGATACGGCCGTACAAGTGGGTGTCAGTTGTATCAATCTATAATATTATAAAGAGGTAAAATTTGTAAGTTTGTATGTAGGGGTAATCTTTGAAACCACTGGTCGGATTCCCAAAATTCTTTCACTGATAGATAGGTACAATGTTCCTGAGTGCCATAGGCTATAAAACTTCACGCTACGGTTAAATGGAGCCGAGCAGCGGGTGAAACCGCGCGAGAGTAGCTAGTTTTGTATACGGGGTGTGGTTTTTTGCTAACATTATGTTGTATGTCTCATCTGAAATCGATGTATAGAAGTTATTTAGCTTTTTTATTTCTTCAATGAACCACTCTTTGCGAGATCCACTAAATGTTATGATAGGTCTAGGTGCACCTATGTGTGTGTTTATAAACGCATCCATGATAAAGAAGTACAAGTAACCTACGTGTACTTCTTGTGTTCTTCATAAATATTTAAACGCAACTCAAATTTGTTTTGTTACAAACTATCACAGATTCTTTGATGATGAGAAAAGTTTTTTAATTTTGCTGTACCTACATAGAAACAAAAGGGAAAAGAGTTTTAATAACGCTATAACTCACTGAAGTCTAATGACATTAAAATTTATTAGATTGAAAATAGAGAAGCGGTATGTAGATGGTGGCAAGCTATCACTGCACTCCAATTGGCAGTGTTTGGATGAGAAGAGCTGAACATTGAGCTCAGTGGTTGGCAATTCGGGAGACCTATGTTCAGCAGAGGACGTAATCAGACTGATGAAGATGATGATGAATGCTCCAATTAGTAATATAATCATCATCAAAGACGTCCACTGCTGAACAAAAGCCACCTTACGCATCCTTGTTTTGCCCGAAGCAGCATTTACGTAGACGCGGAGCGTCGCGCGACGAATCCTGCGTTTATCGTACATTGCTACGGCAGTCCGCGTCACCACTTATACAAACACTAACAAAATGTGCAATGTATGACAAACCACACGACGCGTCGTGCTTCGCGCCGCACTCCGTTAATGAGGCTTTAGTCCTCCACGTTGAACGATAGCTTGCTAATTGCATCTAGAGACAATGACGTCGACGCTCAGACAATGTCGTCGGTTCACCTAGCTAGAGGCTGAAGCCAAGAAAATTAATATAGCTACATTTACATGCACAATATCAGACTTGATTTAATTACAACTATAACGTTTATGACTTCTCCAATAAGAGATGGGGCATAAATGTGTTGCAAAGAAACCCTTTTTTAAATAGGTGTTTATGTCAAAAAATGTTGTCGAAAGAGGCCAAATCTTTGGCGGGTAGTTTGAAATTTTTTTTAATGTGGACATACCCTACAAAAGTTGCTAATAGACCAGTACATATAAGTCGCTATAGGGATGATGTTCAGCCAGGGTTGCGGGGCAAGCGCATTCAGTCACTGCGTCCTCGGCCTAGAGCATGAGAAGGAATGGGGGTCTTTAGTCAGTAAGAGTCTGATACTGCCTCCCGCCCCACCCTTTGCGGGAGAAGTAATTTATTTTCCCCTTATAAAAAAAACATACAAAGGTTTTTTCAAGTGACCGAGTGTCGCACGTCATAAGGTTATATAAATATCTGGAAAGGGGTTAGTGAGATGACGTCAGAGCTAGTGGTTTCGAAGCTTTTGTCTATTTTCTATGTCAATAATCAGTCTGCCTGACGCGACGCCATTAGAACTAAGTAATTACTCTTACGTTAACACAAGGCAAAGAATGAATAAAATATTTGAATATGAAAAATAAAATACATTTCATTTTCTCACTGTCTTTAATTATTCATATCGCAAAGACCTTATTGTTTTAAAGGCCAGGAACAATTTTATTGTACAATCGTCAAACAGTTTTATTATTATTGAGAATATTGACAAAACCCCTATGTTATGCTTACCCCTGGATACGAACCTGACACCATTTTTTTGTCAGGGGAAAATCATCAAACGACTTCTCCCGCCCAAGGTAAGACTCTTACAGACTAAAAATCCCCCGTTCCTTCTCCTGCTTTAGGCTGTGGCCGCGGTGCCTCATTGCGTTTGCCCCGAAGTCCCGCAACCCTAGCTGAAACCTGGCTGACCCTTGTCTTATTGGTCGCGTTTAGGGCTATTTGATGAACAAAACAGCATGAAGTATGTATACCTACGGATGTTAACTAGTTCAGTTTTCTAAATCATGCTAACGTAGTGTAAAAAGCCATAATTATTAATTATGTATTCTATAAGCTTATTAAAAAGTTACAAGGCTGTGTGAAAATGGCTCTTAATGTTTCAGACTCTAAGTTCAAGGTCGATAGTGATAGCTAATGACTCGGAAGATTGATGAAAGATTACCCTTATTTACATACTTTCTAAACATAGGCCCCTTTCTCTCGTCACTGGATCAGGAGAGTTCTGTAACAAAATCAATACTGTATAATACTGTTAATCAATACTGTATCTAGACACAGGCAATAAAGAAGCTGGTTTATCGCTCCCTAATTTTCAAATCTTGTACGAAATAAATGGTTTCACATACATGACCCGGATCACGTAGAGTTTTTCAGTAGCCAGTTGCCTCACTAGCCAATATCTTCTACTATTGTAAAAGACAACGAAAAAAAGACACCAAAGCTTCGTCAAGGCTCAATACTAGGCCATCCCCAAATCCCGAAGGCCGGCAACGTACTGGGAGCCGATTTGCGACTGTCAAACGGCGTTACCAATTGTTCATCACAAGATTTGCTTGCAATCTTATCCATTAAAAAAACTCCATGGATTCAAATTTTGACTGCACGGTTGGTGCGGTGGCTGGGCGGTGACCGGCAGCCATGCAACGTGTTGCGGATACGATTCCCGCACGGAACAACACTTTGTGTGATCCACAAATTGTTGGTTCGGGTCTGGGTGTGATATGTATGTGACATTGAATGTTTGTAAACGCACCCACGACACAGGAGAAAATAACAGTTTGGGGCCACGTCGTTTTAAAAAAATATTCAGAAATCAACGACTGTTGTGTCGTTGATTTATGAATTTGAATCAAATGCCTCAACGTACTGTAACAAAGTACATTCGAAATTAAAGTACATATTGCTCCATAAAATATCTGCATCCAATCGGTTAGGATCGGCTTCAATTGTCCGTTCGTTTTGCGGAGAAGATAAATAACAATTAGAAGTAAACAATTACAAAGACGGTTCTTAGAATTTATGAATGTTCAGGGGCACGTTACGGCACGTTCCATATTGCAGCATCTGTTGTGTTTCGAAGATAGACAGAGCTGAATAAGCATGTAGAGTGACCCACTACTGAATAACAGAATAGGAATGAACATTGACCACGTTGCTTGTTGTAAAGGAATCCAATATCTTATTTAGACTAAGTCAAATAAAGTTCAAGTTTTCTCGAGGTGTACGACGGTTAACGTTCCGCGCCCTCCTCCAAGAGCCAATAGACCACCACAGACGGGGTCCTAAATTGCCGATGTTCAGCCAGGGTTGTGGGACAAGCACAATATGGGACCGTGGCAATTTAAAGCAGATGGAGGAACGGAGTAGTTTTTAGTCAGTGAGAATCCGATACTGCCTCCGGTTACAAAAAAACCTACGATCTTTTTCGACATATCTGTGGAAAATTCGACCACTCGGCGATACAGATACCTAGATAACTTTATACCATACACGTAGGTAGTTTACCAAGTTCAAAATCAAAGATTATAAAGCTTTATTTCATCCGGGCAAGTAATAAAGTGTCGCTCTCGACATTAGTAACACAAATCACGTGTAATGAAAGAAATCATACATACATTCAACAAAACAACTGACAAATAAAACGGAGTAAAACAATGGGCTTGCTATTTGCATGTATTACGATGTGTGTCATTAAATCCATAAATGAAGCATTCAGGTCAATTTGCGATTCAAGTTTTAGGGACTTCAAACTTGCCGCAAAAAAGTACGTTTTAAGTTACGCATGTAATTAAATAAATGCATAATGTGATATATGTACCATTCTCTTTTCGTATAAGAGTACTGTTTCTTTTTAGAAAGTGCAGGTACAGCAGACACGAAACCTATTTCTGAGTCCATCAGGAAAAGTTGCACACTCAACAAAATTAAAAATCTATGTTAATAACCAGTAACATAACACAAATGAAATATTAAAAAGGTAAAGAGTTTATTTACCTGTTATCTATTTAAACGAGCTATCTCCGTAGCTACTGGTCGATCTGAACAATTATTTTGTATTTTAATAGTCAACTTACCAAGAAAGACTATAACAGTTACCTTATAGTATCGATACGGAAACCAAATTTAGAGGGAGGGTATCAATATACTTATTAGTACCTAATCCAATTCCAAACTAACCTTACAAATCGAGCAAGAATATCATAGCATATTTACTGTGTACAATTAAATGCCAGATACACTTTTAATACTAGAACAAATACTAAAAAGACAAAAACGAGGACGCTTCTTTGTAGGTACTATAAATACAACAGAATCTCTATCTCACACAGATGTAATCTAAATCTAATTTAGTTCTGAAGGAGAGCAAATACCTTGCTACGTCGGGTATGAACGCTGAGATCTGAATAGAGAGCTATTAGTTGCATTTATCTCATTCAAAAGATTTAATAGGACTTAGATTGTTCTTGATGCAATTCAAGATTACAATGGTAACAATCTTCAGAAATAATTCTAGGGTTAGCTTTTTATAAGGATGTGTGGCAAACGAGCAGATATTTACGTGGTAGTAAGCGATAGGGAGATATGGGGATTAGACAGGGATATGGGGAATAGAATTGATTGAAAATTGGCTTATAGGACAGTCTGGTTTTCTTGTAGCATGATTTATGAGTAGAACTAGAGTAAGTAAGCTGTTCGGCAAGAGAGGAAGATTAAGTGTACGGTAATCTCACTTAAATAGCAAAACGCGATTATGAAACGCAATCGTTGTTTAGTTGTTGTCGAGCCAGGGTCATTCGCGTTCCCACTCTTTTTTAGTTAGTTAATTGAATGATGATGATGAGTTTGATATCTTTAAAAAAGCATATGGATAAAAAAATGAGCAGAGCGACACCTAATGGCAAATGGTCAGCGCCCATGGAGAGTGGATACCCATAACAGGAGTTGCTGTATTTTTTATGGGAGATACTGCCTCTTTTAGCTTTAAGGAGAACCTGAGAGCGAAATAATTACCAAATATTGTTAAGGGCATCATAACACTCATGACGTAATGACTAAACGCAATTTTTAGAATATTAATAGGCACATCAATAAAATAAACTTGTGGGTAGTTTGTAAAATTTGTTTAATTTGTCAACCCTAAGCAAAGTTGCGATCAATGGACTGTAGTAATTGATGTAGTTCTTACGGGGTCTGACGTGTTGAATAATGCGTTGCTTTAATCGCTTGGCTAACAACGTTTGGTGGTAAAGACACAAGAGATTAATCTAGTGGAAATATTTACACGAGGTTTTTGCCCTTTCCAAATATGTTTGGCCTTCTTCGTTTTATTGAGTGTTAAAAGTGTATTCGTCATTGTTTGAGAAAACAGGTTCATGAACTGCTTTCTTGTTTACTTTCAAATGCTTCTTGAGTACAGTTTTTTTGTTTGGTCGTTTGTATTTATTTATAGTTTCGTGTTTTGAATAATAAATCTCTCTGTACAATTGCTAAGTAAGCGCTGCTAGAAAAGCGAGACACTTTTAGTATTCTAAAACTATGAGTTGTATCACCGTTGTATTTAATAGGTTTAATCACATAATTTCCTAAACGTTTCACTACAAGCAACGAATACGAAAATTTAAAAAAATGCGATCATATTGTCATTTTAAATATTAACACGAGCATCGTAAATATTTAAACAGGCCAAGCTATTTCAAAGCCCAATTTGGCGGAGGGATAAGCCTAACTGTCATCC